CCCCTGTATCCCCATCCCACCCCATTCTACCCCACTCTATCCCCCTGTATCCCCATCCCACCCCACTCTACCCCCATCCCACCCCACAGGTGAACTCCTGGAGCGGCTCCATCGAAGTGGGGGTCACAGCCTTGGACCCCTGGGCCTTGGACTTCCCCAGCAGCGCCACGGGCTTACGGGGGGGCTCCTGGGTGGTTTCGGGGTGCTCGGTGCTGCGCGACGGCCGCTCCTTGCGCGACGACTTCGGTCCCGATCTGGATGCTCTGGGTGAAGGGGATCGGGTCGGGGTGGAGGCGACGGCCGGGGGGGAGCTGCACTTGTGGGTCAACGGGAGGGATTATGGGGCGGCCGCTGTGGGGCTGCCCCCCAAGGTGTGGGCGGTGGTGGATCTGTACGGGAAGTGCACGGAGGTGAGCGTGGTGGGGGGGGAGGAAGGGGAGGAGCTAAGGGGGGGGGGTACGCCCATCGAGAAGGACACGCCCATCGATAAGGACACGCCCATTGATAAGGACACGCCCATTGAGGGGAAGGACACGCCCATTGAGGGGAAGGACACGCCCATTGATAAGGACACGCCCACCGAGGGGGAGGACGAGGCCATTGGTGCTGGTGGAGGAGGGGGAGTGGCGATGAGGGAGGGTGAGGATGGGGGTCAATGGGGGGGGATGGGGTGGGATCAATGGGGTGTGGGGGGGGATGGGGGTCAATGGGGGTCATGGGGGTCAATGGGGGTCATGGGGGTCAATGGGGGTCAATGGGGGTCAATGGGGGGGGATGGGGTGGGGGGGATGGGGGTCAATGAGGGGGGAGAATGGGGGACATGGGGGGGATGGGGTCAATGGGGGGATGGGGGGTGGGGTCTAATGGGGGGGATGGGGGTCAATGGGGGGATGGGGTGGGGGGGATGGGGGTCAATGGGGGGGGATGGGGGGGATGGGGGTCAATGGGGGTGGGGGGGGTGGGGATGGGTTGGGGTGGGGATGGGGGTCAATGGGGGGGTGGGGGGGATGGGATGGGGATTGGGGTCAATGGGGGGGATGGGGGGGTGGGGGGGGATGGGGATGGGGGGATGGGGTGGAGGGGGATGGGGGTGGGGATGATGGGGGGGGATGGGGGTCAATGGGGGGGTGCGGGGGTGGGGATGGGAATAGGATGGGGGGAGGGGGGGAATGGGGGTCAATGGGGGGATGGGGTGGGGGGGATTGGGATGGGGGGATTGGGGTCAATGGGGGAGGATGGGGGGTGGGGGATGGGATGGGGTGGGGATGGGGGTCAATGGGGGTGGGGGGATGGGGGTGTGGGGATGGGATGGGGTGGGGTGGGGTATGGATGGGGATGGGGGTGGGGATGGGAATAGGATAGGGAATGGGATAGGGATGGGATGGGGTGGGGATGGGAACAGGATGGGGAATGGGGTTCTATGGTGCTCAATGTGGGGCTCAATGTGGGTCTCTATGGGGCTCAATGTGGGTCTCTATGGGGCTCTATGGGGCTCTATGGATCTCTATGGGTCTCTATGGGTCTCTATGGGGCTCAATGTGGGTCTCTATGGGGCTCTATGGGGCTCAATGTGGGGCTCTATGGGGCTCAATGTGGATCTCTATGGGGCTCTATGGTGCTCAATGTGGGTCTCTATGGGTCTCTATGGGGCTCTATGGGGCTCTATGGGGCTCAATGTGGGGCTCTATGGGGCTCGATGTGGATCTCTATGGGGCTCAATGTGGGTCTCTATGGGGCTCAATGTGGGTCTCTATGGGGCTCTATGGGGTCTCTATGGGGCTCTATGGGGCTCTATGGGGCTCTATGGGTCTCTATGGATCTCTATGGGTCTCTATGGATCTCTATGGGTCTCTATGGGTCTCTATGGGGTCTCTATGGGTCTCTATGGGTCTCTATGGGTCTCTATGGATCTCTATGGTCTCTATGGGTCTCTATGGGTCTCTATGGTCTCTATGGATCTCTATGGGGCTCTATGGGGCTCAATGTGGGTCTCTGCTTCCAGCTCCCCCCCGGGCCCAGCCCCGTCCGGACAAGTTCCCCGACAGCCTGGACCCACCAGGGGCTAGTGAGTGCCAGGGGGCGGGGCCTGGCCCTCCAAAGGGGCGGGGCTTTGTCCATATAAGGCTTGGGGTGGGAGGGGGCGTGGCCAGCCGCAAAGAGGCGGCGCTTCAGTGCCGCGCATTGGTTCTAGCGGTGGGCGGGGCTTCGGCAAAGGGGGTGTGGCCTGAGGGACACGCCCATATGTGGGCGTGGACAACCTTTAGGCCCCGCCCCCCTTCATCTGCATTAACCAATCGCCTCTCTGTGGGCGTGGTTTGCCTTTAGCCCCGCCCCTTCATCTGCATTAACCAATGGGAACTCCTCCTTCCATTGACTCCCACTTATGAATGATCATTGACCCCTCGGTGGGCGTGGCTTTCCCTTAGCCCCGCCCCCTTCATGTGCATTAACCAATGGGAACCTTCCCTTCCATTGACTCCCACTTATGAATGATCATCGCCCCCTCGGTGGGCGTGGCTTTCCCTTTAGCCCCACCCCCTTCATCTGCATTAACCAATGGGAACCTCCCCTTCCATTGAGTCCTACTTATGAAGACCGCCCCCTCTGTGGGCGTGGCTTTCCATTTAGCCCCACCCCTTCATCTGCATTAACCAATGGGAACCCCTCCTCCATTGACCCCTGCTTATGAATGGGCGTCGCCCCCTTTGTGGGCGTGGCTTCCCCTTTTAGCCCCGCCCCCTTCACCCACGCTAACCAATGGGAACCCCCCTTCCATTGACCCCTAGTTCTGAATGGGCGTCGCCCCCTTTGTGGGCGTGGCTTCCCTTTAGCCCCGCCCCCTTCCCTCCTTCCCACCCCAATGAACCCCCCCCCCTTCTCCCATTACCCCCCGCTGCCGAATAAAGACCGCCCCCTTTGTGGGCGTGGCTTCCACTTTAGCCCCGCCCCCTTCGTCCGCGCCGACCAATGAGGCGCTGCTGTTCCATGAGAAGTGTGGGGCCCTCATCAAGCTCAGCAACGGGCACAAGACCGCCGAGCGGCGCCGGCCCCTCGATGAGTTCAACAATGGGGTGGTGTTGACCAACCGGCCCCTACGGGATGGGGAGATGTTCGAGGTGGGTCCATTTGGGTCGATTTTGGGGCATTTTGGGTCGTTTTGGTCATATTTGATTATTTTGGGTTGTTTTTGCATGATTTTGGGTCGTTTTGGTGTGATTTTGGGTTGTTTTGGTGGGATTTGGGGTCGATTTTGGTGGGATTTTGGGTCGATTTTGTGTGATTTTGGGTCGTTTTGGTGGGATTTTGGGTCGTTTCGGGATGGGGAGATGTTCGAGGTGAGGGATTTTGGGGCATTTTGGGTGATTTTGGTCATATTTGATCATTTTGGGTCATTTTTGTGTGATTTTGGGTTGTTTTGGGTTGTTTTCGTGTGATTTTGGGTCATTTCAGGTTGGTTTTTGTGGGATTTTGGGTCGTTTTGGTGGGATTTTGGGTCGTTTTTGCGTGATTTTGGGTCGATTTTGTGTGATTTTGGGGGGATTCAAGGGGGTTCAGCAGTGGGGTTGTGTTGACCAACCGGCCCCTAAGGGATGGGGAGATGTTCGAGGTGGGTCCATTTGGGGCGATTTTGGGACATTTTGGGTCGTTTTGGGTGTATTTGATTATTTTGGGTCGTTTTCGCGGGATTTGGGGTCGTTTTGGTGGGATTTTGGGTTGTTTTGGTGGGATTTTGAGTCGATTTTGTGTGATTTTGGGTCGTTTCGAGTTGGTTTTGTGTGATTTTGGGTCGTTTTGGGGGGATTTTGGGTGATTTTGGTCATATTTGATCATTTTGGGTCATTTTTGTGTGATTTTGGGTTGTTTTCGTGTGATTTTGGGTCGATTTTGGGTGATTTTGGTCATATTTGATCATTTTGGGTCATTTTTGTGTGATTTTGGGTTGTTTTGGGTTGTTTTCGTGTGATTTTGGGTCATTTCAGGTTGGTTTTTGTGGGATTTTGGGTCGTTTTGGTGGGATTTTGGGTCGTTTTTGCGTGATTTTGGGTCGATTTTGTGTGATTTTGGGGGGATTCAAGGGGGTTCAGCAGTGGGGTTGTGTTGACCAACCGGCCCCTAAGGGATGGGGAGATGTTCGAGGTGGGTCCATTTGGGGCGATTTTGGGACATTTTGGGTCGTTTTGGGTGTATTTGATTATTTTGGGTCGTTTTCGCGGGATTTGGGGTCGTTTTGGTGGGATTTTGGGTTGTTTTGGTGGGATTTTGAGTCGATTTTGTGTGATTTTGGGTCGTTTCGAGTTGGTTTTGTGTGATTTTGGGTCGTTTTGGGGGGATTTTGGGTGATTTTGGTCATATTTGATCATTTTGGGTCATTTTTGTGTGATTTTGGGTTGTTTTGGGTTGTTTTCGTGTGATTTTGGGTCGATTTTGGGTGATTTTGGTCATATTTGATCATTTTGGGTCATTTTTGTGTGATTTTGGGTTGTTTTGGGTTGTTTTCTTGTGATTTTGGGTCATTTCAGGTTGGTTTTTGTGGGATTTGGGGTCGTTTTGGTGGGATTTTGGGTCGTTTTTGCATGATTTTGGGTCGATTTTGTGTGATTTTGGGGGGATTCAAGGGGGTTCAGCAGTGGGGTTGTGTTGACCAACCGGCCCCTAAGGGATGGGGAGATGTTCGAGGTGGGTCCATTTGGGGCGATTTTGGGGCATTTTGGGTGATTTTGGGTGTATTTGATCATTTTGGGTCGTTTTTGCATGATTTTGGGTCGTTTTGGTAGGATTTGGGGTCGTTTTGGTGGGATTTTGGGTCGATTTTGGTGGGATTTTGGGTCGTTTCGGGTTGGTTTTGTGGGATTTTGGGTCGCTTTGGTGGGATTTTGGGTTGTTTTGGGATGGGGAGATGTTCGATGTGAGGGATTTGGGGCCATTTTGGGTGATTTTGGTCGTATTTGATCATTTTGGGTTGTTTTGGTGGGATTTTGGGTCGTTTTCGTGTGATTTTGGAGGGTTTGGGAGGGTTCAACAATGGGGTGGTGTTGACCATCCGGCCCCTAAGAGATGGGAAGATGTTCGAGGTGGGTCCATTTGGGTCGATTTTGGGTCGTTTCGGGTGATTTTAGTCGTATTTGATTAATTTGGGTCGTTTTGGGGGGATTTGGGGTCGATTCTGGTGGGATTTTGGGTCGATTTTGGTGGGATTTTGTGTCGATTTTGTGTGATTTTGGGTCGTTTTCGGTTGGTTTTGTGTGATTTTGGGTCGTTTTGGTGGGATTTTGGGTCGTTTCGGGATGGGGAGATGTTCGATGTGAGGGATTTTGGGGCATTTTGAGGGATTTTGGTTATATTTGATAATTCGGGTCGTTTTCATGTGATTTTGGGTCGTTTTCGCGGGATTTTGGGTCGTTTTGGTATGATTTTGGGTCGATTTTGGTGGTATTTTAGGTCGTTTTGGTGGGATTTCGGGTTGGTTTTGTGTGATTTTGGGTCGTTTTGGTGGGATTTTGGGGCGTTTTGGTGGGATTTTGGGTCGTTTTGGTGGGATTTAGGGGCATTTCGGGATGGGGAGATGTTCGATGTGAGGGATTTTGGGGCATTTTGGGTGATTTTGGTCGTATTTGATCATTTTGGGTCGTTTTTGCATGATTTTGGGTCGTTTTCGTGTGATTTTGGGGGGATTCAAGGGGGTTCAGCAGTGGGGTTGTGTTGACCAACCGGCCCCTAAGGGATGGGGAGATGTTCGAGGTGGGTCCATTTGGGGCGATTTTGGGGCATTTTGGGTGATTTTGGGTGTATTTGATTATTTTGGGTCGTTTTGGTGGGATTTGGGGTCGTTTTGGTGGGATTTTGGGTTGTTTTGGTGGGATTTTGAGTCGATTTTTTGTGATTTTGGGTCGTTTCGAGTTGGTTTTGTGTGATTTTGGGTCGTTTTGGGGGGATTTTGGGTGATTTTGGTCATATTTGATCATTTTGGGTCATTTTTGTGTGATTTTGGGTTGTTTTGGGTTTTCGTGTGATTTTGGGTCGATTTTGGGTGATTTTGGTCATATTTGATCATTTTGGGTCATTTTTGTGTGATTTTGGGTCGTTTTCGTGTGATTTTGGGGGGATTCAAGGGGGTTCAGCAGTGGGGTTGTGTTGACCAACCGGCCCCTGCGGGATGGGGAGATGTTCGAGGTGGGTCATTTTGGGGCGATTTTGGGGCATTTTGGGTCGTTTTGGGTGTATTTGATTATTTTGGGTCGTTTTCGCGGGATTTGGGGTCGTTTTGGTGGGATTTTGGGTCGATTTTGGTGGGATTTTGGGTCGATTTTGTGTGATTTTGGGTCGTTTTCGGTTGGTTTTGTGTGATTTTGGGTCGTTTTGGTGGGATTTTGGGGCGTTTCGGGATGGGGAGATGTTCGATGTGAGGGATTTTGGGCATTTTGGGTAGTTTTGGGCGTATTTGATCAATTTGGGTCGTTTTCGCGGGATTTTGGGTCGTTTTGGTATGATTTTGGGTATTTTTGGTATTTTGGTTTTTGGTGGGATTTCGGGTTGGTTTTGTGTGATTTTGGGTCGATTTTTGGTCGATTTTGTGTGATTTTGGGGGGATTCACGGGGGTTCAGCCGTGGGGTTGTGTTGACCAACCGGCCCCTAAGGGATGGGGAGATGTTCGAGGTGGGTCCATTTGGGGCGATTTTGGGGCATTTTGGGTGATTTTGGGTGTATTTGATTATTTTGGGTCGTTTTGGGGGGATTTGGGGTCGTTTTGATGGGATTTGGTGTGATTTTGGGGGCTTTCAAGGGGGTTCAACAATGGGGTGGTGTTGACCAACCGGCCCCTAAGGGATGGGGAGATGTTCGAGGTGGGTCATTTTGGGGCGATTTTGGGGGATTTTGGGTCGTTTTGGGCGTATTTGATCATTTTGGGTCGTTTTCATGTGGTTTTGGGGGGTTCAACAATGGGGTGGTGTTGACCAACCGGTCTCTAAGAGATGGGGAGATGTTCGAGGTGGGTCTTTTTGAGGCGATTTTGGGTGGTTTGGGGTGATTTTAGTCGTTTTTGATTATTTTGGGTCGTTTTGGTGGGATTTTGGGTCGTTTTGGTGTGATTTTGGGTCGATTTTGGTGGGATTTTGGGTCGTTTTGGTGGGATTTTGGGTCGATTTTGTGGGATTTTTGGGTGTTTTGGTTTGGTTTTGTGTGATTTTGGGTCGTTTTCATGTGATTTTGGGGGGTTTCAAGGGGGTTCAGCCGTGGGGTTGTGTTGACCAACCGGCCCCTATGGGATGGGGAGATGTTCGAGGTGGGTCCATTTGGGGCGATTTTGGGGCATTTTGGGTGATTTTGGGCATATTTGATTATTTTGGGTCGTATTCGCGGGATTTGGGGTCGTTTTGGTGCAATTTTGGAGGGTTTCAAGGGGGTTCAACAATGGGGTGGTGTTGACCAACCAGCCCCTACGGGATGGGGAGATGTTCGAGGTGGGTCATTTTGGGGCGATTTTGGGGCATTTTGGGTCGTTTTGGTCATATTTGATCATTTTGGGTTGTTTTCGGGGGATTTTGGGTCGTTTTCATGTGGTTTTGGGGGGTTCAACAATGGGGTGGTGTTGACCAACCGGCCCCTACGGGATGGGGAGATGTTCGAGGTGGGTCCAATTTGGGGCAATTTTGGGGCATTTTGGGTGATTTTGGTCATATTTGATCATTTTGGGTCGTTTTGGGAGGATTTTGGGTTGTTTTCGTGTGATTTTGGGGGGTTTCAAGGGGGTTCAACAATGGGGTGGTGTTGACCAACCGGCCCCTATGGGATGGGGAGATCTTCGAGGTGGGTCGATTTGGGGCGATTTTGGGTCGTTTTGGGTGATTTTAATCGTATTTGATTATTTTGGGTCGTTTTCGCGGGATTTGGGGTCGTTTTGGTGGGATTTTGGGTCGTTTTTGCATGATTTTGGGTTGTTTTCATGTGGTTTTGGGGGGTTCAACAATGGGGTGGTATTGACCAACCGTCCTCTAAGAGATGGGGAGATGTTCGAGGTGGGTCCATTTGGGGCGATTTTGGGGCATTTTGGGTCGTTTTGGTCATATTTGATCATTTTGGGTCGTTTTGGGATGGGGAGATGTTCGAGGTGAGGGATTTTGGGGCATTTTGGGGGATTTTGGCTATATTTGATCTTTTTGGTCGTTTTTGCGTGATTTTGGGTCGTTTTGGTGTGATTTTGGAGGGTTTCAAGGGGGTTCAACAATGGGGTGGTGTTGACCAACCGGCCCCTAAGGGATGGGAAGATGTTCGAGGTGGGTCTATTTAGGGCAATTTTGGGGGATTTGGGGGCATTTTGAGTGATTTTGGTCGTATTTGATCATTTTGGGTCGTTTTGGGGGGATTTTGGGTCGATTTTGTGTGATTTTGGGGCGTTTCGGGTTGGTTTTGTATTATTTTGGGGTCGTTTTGGGGGGATTTTGGGTCATTTCAGGATGGGGATATGTTCGAAGTGAGGGATTTTGGGGCATTTTGGGTGATTTTGGTCGTATTTGATCATTTTGGGTCGTTTTTGCATGATTTTGGGTCGTTTTCGTGTGATTTTGGAGGGTTTGGGTGGGTTCTACAATGGGGTGGTGTTGACCAACCAGCCCCTGAGGGATGGGGAGATGTTCGAGGTGAGTCGATCTGGGGCGATTTTGGGGGATTTTGGGTAATTTTGGTCATACTTGATCATTTTGGGTCGTTTTTGTGTGATTTTGGGTCATTTTCGATCATTTTGTGTTGATTTTGGGTCATTTTGGGTCATTTTCAATCATTTTGGGTTGATTTTGTGGTGATTTTGGGTCATTTTCGATCATTTTGGTGTGATTTTGGGTGATTTTGGGTCCTTTTCGATCATTTTGGGGTGATTTGGGGTCATTTTCGATCATTTTGGGGAGATTTTGGGTCATTTTCCATTATTTTGGGTTGATTTTGGGTCATTTTGGGTCATTTTGGGTCATTTTCGATCATTTGGGTGGATTTTGTGGTGATTTTGGGTCATTTTCGTTCATTTTGGTGTGATTTAGTGTCCTTTTTGATCATTTTGGGTTGATCTTGGGTCATTTTCGATCATTTTGGGTCATTTTCCGTTATTTTGGGTTGATTTTGGGTCATTTTCGATCATTTTGGGTTGATTTGGGGTCATTTTGGGTCATTTTCTATCATTTTGGGGTCATTTTTGACCATTTATGGTGATTTGGGGTCATTTTCGATCATTTTGGGGTGATTTTGGGTGATTTTGGGTGATTTTGGATCATTTTTGGGTGATTTGAAGGGGTTTTGGGGTCATTTTGGGTTGATTTGAGGGGGTTTTGGGGTCATTTTGGGTTGATTTGAGGGGGTTTTGGGGTCATTTTGGGTTGATTTGAGGGAGTTTTGGGGTCATTTTGGGTTGATTTGAGGGGGTTTTGGGGTCATTTTGGGTTGATTTGAAGGGGTTTTGGGGTCATTTTGCGTTGATTTGAGGGGTTTTTGGGGTCATTTTGGGTTGATTTGAGGGGGTTTTGGGGTCATTTTGGGTTGATTTGAGGGGGTTTTGGGGTCATTTTGGGTTGATTTGAGGGGTTTTTGGGGTCATTTTGGGTTGATTTGAGGGAGTTTTGGGGTCATTTTGGGTTGATTTGAGGGGGTTTTGGGGTCATTTTGGGTTGATTTGAGGGGGTTTTGGGGTCCCTGACCCCCTCTTTTGCCCCCCCAGATCCGCATTGACAAGCTGGTGGACAAGTGGTCGGGCTCCATCGAGATGGGGGTCACAGCCCATAACCCCAACAGCCTCGAGTACCCGGCCACCATGACCAACCTGCGCTCCGGTCAGCACCCATGGGTGCCCCCCACCCAGTGGGGGGACCCCCCCCACCTTCAACACAATGGGGTCCCCATCACCACAATGGGGTCCCCATTGTCACAATGGGAACCCCCCCATCACCCCAATGGGGTCCCCCATCACCCCATTGAGCCCCCCATCACCCCACTGCAGGCACCATCATGATGAGCGGCTGTGGGATCCTCACCAATGGGAAGGGGACGCGCCGGGAATACTGCGAGTTCAGCCTGGATGAGCTGCAGGTAACCCCCCCCCCACCCCCCCCCCCCCAAAAACAGGGGAACCCCCCCTCCCCCCCCAACCCCCCCCCCCCACTTTGAGTTGCTCCAATGGGGGAGATTCCAGCCCTAAACTCAGCTGTTGGTGCTCGTTGTACCCCATTGGGACCCATGGCACCCATTGGGACCCATTATACCCATTGGCACCCATTGGGACCCATTGGCATCCATTGGTGCCCATTATACCCATTGGCACCCATTGGCGCCCATTGGTGCCCATTGTACCCATTGGCACCCATTGGGACCCATTGTACCCATTGGCACCCATTGGGACCCATTGTACCCATTGGCACCCGTTGAGACCCATTGGCACCCATTGGCACCCATCGTACTTATTGGCACCCATTGGGACCCATTGTACCCATAGTACCCCGTTGGCACCCATTTGGGACCCATTGCACCCACTGGCACCCATTATACCTATTGCCACCCATTTGGGACCCATTGCACCCATTGGCACCCATTGTACCTATTGGCACCCATTGGGACCCATTGTACCCATTGGCACCCATTGGCACCCATTTGGGACCCATTGCACCCATTGGCACCCATTGTATCTATTGGCACCCACTGGGACCCATTGTACCCCATTGGGACCCATTGGCACCCATTGGGACCCATTGGCACCCATTGGGACCCATTGGCACCCATTTGGGACCCATTGCACCCATTGGCACCCATTGTACCTATTGGCACCCACTGGGACCCATTCTACCCCATTGGGACCCATTGGCACCCATTGTATCCATTGGCACCTGTTGGGACCCATTGGCACCCATTTGGGACCCATTGGCACCCATTGGGACCCATTGTACCTATTGGCACCCACTGGGACCCATTGTACCCCGTTGGCACCCATTGTCACCCCTTGCACCCATTGGCGCCCATTGGCGCCCATTGTACCTATTGGCACCCATTGGGACCCACTGTACCCCATTGGGACCCACTGTACCCATTGTATCCTATTGGCACCCATCGTACCCAATGGGACCCATTGAACCCTTTGGCACCCATTGTACCCATTGACACCCACTGGTGCCTATTGGGACCCATTGGACCCATTGGTGCCCATTGGGACCCACTGTACCCTGTTGGCACCCATTGGCACCCATTGTACCCATTGGGACCTATTGTACCCCATGGCACCCATTGGCACCCATTGTATCCATTGGTGCCCATTGGGACCTATTGTACCCCATGGCACCCATTGACACCCATTGGCACCCATTGTATCCATTGGGACCCATTGCACCCATTGGCACCCATTGGTGCCCATTGTACCCATTGGCACCCGTTGGGACCCATTGCACCCATTGGCACCCATTGGCACCCATTGATGCCCATTATACCCCATTGGCCCCATTGAAACCCATTGCACCAATGTCCCCATTACCCCCATCCCTCCCATGGGCCCCATTGGCCCCCATTGCCCCCCATTGCCCCCCCATGGCACCCATTGACCCCATTGCCCCCCGTTGGTCCCATTGACCCCCATTGATCCCCATTGACCCCCATTGGTCCCCATTGCCCCCCATGGCACCCATTGACCCCATTGACTCCCGTTGGTCCCATTGACCCCCATTAATCCCCATTGCCCCCCCATGGCACCCATTGCCCCCATTGCCCCCCATTGATCCCATTGACCCCCATTGCCCCCCATTGCCCCCCCATGGCACCCATTGACCCTATTGTCCCCCATTGACCCCCATTGACCCCCATTGCCCCCAATTGCCCCCCATGGCACCCATTGCCCCCATTGACCGCCCCCGACCCCCATTGACCCCCATTGTGCCCCCATGGCACCCATTGACCCCATTGTCCCCTATTGAACCCATTGACCCCCACTGATCCCCATTGCCCCCCATTGCCCCTCATGGCACTCATTGACCCCCATTGATCCCCATTGCCCCCATGGCACCCATTGATGCCATTGATCCCATTGACCCCCATTGGTCCCCATTGCCCCCCATGGCACCCATTGATCCCATTGACCCCCATTGGTCCCCGTTGCCCCCATTGCCCCCCATGGCACCCATTGACCCCATTGTCCCCCATTGACCCCATTGTCCCCCATTGACCCCCATTGACCCCCATTGACCCCCATTGATCCACATTGCCCCCCATTGCCCCACAGGAAGGGGACCACATCGGCCTCACGCGGAAGCCCAACAACGCCCTACACTTCTACATCAACGGCATCGACCAAGGTTGGGGGGACGTTGGGGACCCCGAGGGGGGGGTGGGGGGGGTGTGCCCCATGGACACCTTGGGGGTGGGGACGGGGACACCCCAAAAGTGGCTTTTGGGGGCATCCCCATCCCTTTGGTGCCCCCAACATGGACAGCGAATGGACTTGAGGGTGTTCATTGAGCCCCGTCGGCACCCATTGAGCCCCATTGGCACCCATTGAGCCCCATTGGCACCCATTGAGCCCCACTGGCACCCATTGAGGCCTGTCAGCACCCATTGAGCCCATCGGCACCCATTGAGCCCCATCAGCACCCATTGAGCAAATGAGCACCCATTGAGCCCATCGGCACCCATTGAGCCCCATCAGCACCCACTGAGCACCATTGACCGCCATTGACCCCCATCATCACCCATTGACCCCCATCATCACCCATTGACCCCATCATCACCCATTGACCCCATCATCACCCATTGACCCCCATCATCACCCATTGACCCCATCATCAACCATTGACTCCCATTGACCCCCATCATCACCCATTGACCCCATCATCACCCATTGACCCCCATCATCACCCATTGACCCCATCATCACCCATTGACTCCCATTGACGCCATCATCGCCCGTTGACCGTCATCACCCATTGACTCCCATTGACTCCCGTTGACTCCCATTGCCCCCCATTGACCCCCGTTGACTCCCATTGACCGCCATTGCCCCCCATTGACCCCCATTGCCCCCCATTAACCCCCCCTTGCCTCCTGTGCAGGGGTGGCGATGGCGATGATTCCCCCGGTGCTCTGCGGTGTGGTGGATCTCTATGGCATGGCCCCCATCATCTCCCATTGACCCCATAAGCACCCATTGACCCCCATCATCACCCACTGACCCCCATCATTACCCGTTGACGCCGTCACCACCCATTTACCCCATCATCACCCATTGACCCCCATCATCACCCATTGACCCCATCATCACCCATTGACCCCCATCATCACCCATTGACCCCCATCAGCCCCCATTGACCCCATCATCACCCATTGACCCCATCATCACCCATTGACCCCCATCATCACCCATTGACCCCATCAGCACCCATTGACCCCATCATCACCCATTGACGCCGTCACCACCCATTGATGCCATCATCGCCCGTTGATCGTCGTCATCACCCATTGACTCCCATTGACTCCCATTGACCCCCATTGACTCCCATTGACCGCCTTTGCCCCCCATCACCCACTCCCATTGACCCCCATCATCACCCATTGCCCCCATCATCAACCCTCCCATTGACCCCCATCATCACCCATTGACCCCCATCATGGCACCCACGGCGGTGACCCCCCCGGTGCTCTACGGCGTGGTGGTTCTCTATGGCATGACCTCCATCATCTCCCATTGACCCCATCAGCACCCATTGACCCCCATCATCAACCATTGACCCCATCATCAACCGTTGACTCCCATTGACCCCCATCATCACCCATTGACCCCCATCATCACGCATTGACGCCGTCACCACCCATTGACGCCATCATCGCCCATTGACCCCATCATCACCCCTTGACCCCCATCATCACCCATTGACCCCATCATCACCCATTGCCCCCCACCCCCCCTTGCCTCCCGTGCAGGGGTGGCGACGGCGGTGACCCCCCCGGTGCTCTACAGCGTGGTGGATCTCTATGGCATGGCCCCCATCATCTCCCATTGAACCCCATCATCACCCATTGACCCCATCATCACCCATTGACCCCATCATCACCCATTGACCCCATCATCACCCATTGACTCCCATTGACCCCCATCATCACCCATTGACCCCCATCATCACCTATTGACTCCCATTGACGCCATCATCGCCCGTTGACCGTCATCACCCATTGACTCCCATTGACTCCCGTTGACTCCCATTGACTCCCATTGACCCCCGTTGACTCCCATTGACCCCCATTGACCCCCGTTGACTCCCATTGACTCCCATTGACCCCCATTGCCCCCCATTGACCCCCCCTTGCCTCCCGTGCAGGGGTGGCGACGGCGGTGACCCCCCCGGTGCTCTACGGCGTGGTGGATCTCTACGGCATGGCCGTCAAGGTCACCATCGTCCACAACCACAACCCCAACGACCGCCTCCGCCGCAACAACGCCCTCCTGCGGGCCCTTTCCCCTCCCCCTCCTCCTCCCCTCCCCCCTTACCCCTCGTCCATGGCACCCAACGGCCCCCACCACCACCCCCGGGCGCCCGCCCCACCGGGACCTCCCCCCCCGCCCCAGCGCCTCCTCTTCCACCCCAACTGCGGGCAGAAAGCGGCCGTGGTCAACGAGGGCCGGACGGCGCTGAGGCCGCAGTGAGGAGCTGTGGGGCGCATGGGGAGGGACAGGGGGTGGATATGAGGTCTATGGGGTGGATATAGGGGCTGTGGGGTGGATATGGGGTCGATGGGGTCGATATGGGGCTTTTGTGGTGGATATGAGGTCTATGGGGTGGATATGGGGTCGATGGGGTCGATATGGGGCTTTTGTGGTGGATATGAGGTCTATGGGGTGGATATGGGGTCAATGGGGTCGATATGGGGCTTTTGTGGTGGATATGAGGTCTATGGGGTGGATATGGGGTCGATGGGGTCGATATGGGGCTTTTGTGGTGGATATGAGGTCTATGGGGTGGATATAGGGGCTGTGGGGTGGATATGGGGTCGATGGGGTCGATATGGGGCTTTTGTGGTGGATATGGGGTCTATGGGGTGGATATGGGGTCTGTGGGGTCGATATGGGGTCTATGGGGTCTATGGCGTGGATATGGGGTTTATGTGGGCTGTGGGGTGGAGATGGGGTCATTGGGGTCGATATGGGGCTTTTGTGGTGGATATGAGGTCTATGGGGTGGATATAGGGGCTGTGGGGTGGATATGGGGTCGATGGGGTCGATATGGGGCTTTTGTGGTGGATATGAGGTCTATGGGGTGGATATGGGGCTGTGGGGTGGATATGGGGTCTATGGGGCTTATGGCGTGGATATGGGGTTTATGTGGGCTGTGGGGTGGAGATGGGGTCATTGGGGTCGATATGGGGCTTTTGTGGTGGATATGGGGTCTATGGGGTGGAGATGGGGTCTATGGGGTCGATATGGGGTCTATGGCGTGGATATGGGGTTTATGTGGTCTGTGGGGTGGATATGGGGTCGATGGGGTCGATATGGGGCTTTTGTGGTGGATATGAGGTCTATGGGGTGGATATAGGGGCTGTGGGGTGGATATGGGGTCGATGGGGTCGATATGGGGCTTTTGTGGTGGATATGGGGTCTATGGGGTGGATATAGGGGCTGTGGGGTGGATATGGGGTCGATGGGGTCGATATGGGGCTTTTGTGGTGGATATGGGGTCTATGGGGTGGATATAGGGGCTGTGGGGTGGATATGGGGTCGATGGGGTCGATATGGGGCTTTTGTGGTGGATATGAGGTCTATGGGGTGGATATGGGGTCTATGGGGTCGATATGGGGTCTATGGCGTGGATATGGGGTTTATGTGGTCTGTGGGGTGGATATGGGGTCATTGGGGTCGATATGGGGCTTATGTGATGGATATGGGGTCTATGGGGTTGATATGGGGTCTATGGGGTCGATATGGGGTCTTTGGGTTGATATGGGGTCTTTGGGTCGATATGGGGTCTACGGGGTCGATATGGGGTCTTTGGGTCAATATGGGTTCTTTGAGTCGATATGGGCTCTATGGGGTCGATATGGGGTCTTTGGGTTGATACATGCTCTGTGGGGTCTATATGGGGTCTACGGGGTCGATATGAGGTTTTTGGGTTGATATGGGCTCTTTGGGTCGATACAGGCTCTATGGGGTCGATATGGGGTCTTTGGTTCGATATGGGCTCTATGGGGTCGATATGGGGTCTACGGGGTCAATATGTGGTCTTCGGGTCGATATGTGGTCTTTGGGTCGATATGGGGTCTTTGGGTTGATATGGGGTCTACAGGGTCGATATGGGCTCTATGGAATCGATATGGGCTCTTTGGGTCTATATGGGATCTACGGGGTTGATATGTGGTTTACAGGGTCGATATGGGCTCTTTGGGTCGATACGGGCTCTACGGGGTCGATATGTGGTCTTTGGGTCAATATGGGGTCTTTGGGTTGATATGGGCTCTATGGGTCGATATGGGTTCTATGGGGTCGATATGGGGTCTTTGGGTCAATATGGACTCTATGGGGTCTCTATGGGATCTTCAGGGTTGATATGAGTTTTTTGGGTCGATATGGGGTCTTTGGGGTTGATATGGGGTCTACGGGGTCGATATGGGTTCTTTGAGTCGATACGGGCTCTTTGGGTCGATATGGGCTCTATGGGGTCGATATGGGGTCTTTGGGTTGATACACGCTCTGTGGGGTCTATATGGGGTCTACGGGGTCGATATGAGGTTTTTGGGTCGATATGGGCTCTTTGGGTCGATATGGGCTCTTTGGGGTTGATATGGGGTCTACGGGGTCTATATGGGCTCTTTGGGTCGATACAGGCTCTATGGGGTCGATACGGGTTCTATGGGTCGATATGTGGTTTACGGGGTCGATATGGGCTCTATAGGGTCGATATGGCCTCTGTAGGGTCGATATGTAATCTTTGGGTCGATATGTGGTCTTTGGGTCGATATGGGGTCTTTGGGTTGATATGGGGTTTACAGGGTCGATATGGGGTGTTTGGGTTGATATGGGGTCTACAGGGTCGATACGGGCTCTATGGGGTCGATATGGGGTCTTTGGGTCGATACGGGCTCTTTGGGTCGATATGGGGTCTTTGGGTCGATACGGACTTTTTGGGTCGATACAGGCTCTATGGGGTCAATACGGGTTCTATGGGTCGATATGTGGTTTATGGGGTCGATATGGCCTCTATAGGGTCGATATGTGGTTTATGGGGTCGATATGGGCTCTTTGGGTCGATACGGGCTCTTTGGTTCGATACAGGCTCTATGGGGTCGATATGGGTTCTATGGGTCGATATGTGGTTTACGGGGTCGATATGGCTTCTATGGGGTCGATATGGGCTCTTTGGGTCGATACGGGCTCTATGGGTCGATATGGGCTCTTTGGGTCGATACAGGCTCTATGGGGTCGATATGTGGTTTACGGGATCGATACGGGCTCTATGGGTCGATATGTGGTTTACAGGGTCGATATGGCCTCTATAGGGTCGATACGACTTCTATGGGTTACCTATGGTGTCTCTGATGCCTCTGGGCCCTATGGGCCATGTACCCCATCACCCCCCTCTCCACCCCAGCGCCACGGACGACTTCAACCACGGCGTGGTGCTGAGCGCGCGGGCGCTGCGGGACAACGAGCTCTTCCAGGTGCGCCTCGACCGCATGGTGGACAAATGGGCGGGCTCCATCGAGATCGGCGTCACCACGCACAGCCCCGCCCACCTCCAGCTGCCCTCCACCATGACCAACCTGCGCTCCGGTTAGACGGGGGGGGGGTCTATGGGGTGGGGGGGGGGTCTATGGGGTTCCTATGGGGGCTCTATGGGGGCTCTATGGGGTTCCTATGGGGGCTCTATGGGGGCTATG